ATTATTATTATTATTATTATTATTATTATTATTATTATTATTATTATTATTATTATGAGATTCCCATGATTTTGAGATTCCTGGGAATTTGAATAACACCTTATTAGGTGGGATTAGGATTACCCCAAAATGGGGTAATGTGAAACCCATGGGCTTCACTTTCCTGGGTTTTAAAAAAGTTTCATAATTGTACCAAACATGAGAATCTGAAAGATTCTCATTCCCACCCCTATGATTACTCCATACCAAACGCCCCCTAAGGGGCGGGGTATAATACAATCCCCGCCCTATCCCCGTTAAAGTATAATTAGGGAAAAACCCTTCCCGAGGGCTTTTCACTGTATAATCCGGTCTTAAGCTGTTAGGTTTTCAGACCGGATTTTTAGGAGACGTTTGATTCATAAATTAGAATCATGTGATTAGAATTATTTTCGATTTAGGTGTATTTTTTGTGAGAGAAAATACTATAACAAACCATAAACTATGATTATCATAGTTTGAATCATCCAACCAAACATTCCCTTAATAACCGTTTCAAAATATTCAAACGGGACTAGATTGTTAGTACAAAGGGACGGGACCAGACCGTTTACAAACAAAAAAAAACTGTTTATAAATGGTTCGGCCCGCTTAAATCGCAGTTCAGACGGTTAATATGTTTTTTTTTCTCTAATTTAACATAGTACATATTATCCTTTAAAATTAACATTTTAAAAGTTATAAACAATAATAATATATATCCCAAAACAAAAATCTATGACTTGTAATTAATATTATAGTAATCTAAAACCAAAAAATAATAAAAAACGATAACACAATTCAAAGTAAAAGTCCATAAAACAAAAGGCTGTTCCAAATGAAAAAGGTGGGTTCAATTTCAATGAATCATACTATTAATTACCTATCAGATAGGCACACACAATTTGAACAGCCTCTTCAACAGTTACTGATTTGCAAATTCCATTTATATAAATTTGAAATAATATTAATCCTATAACATAAGCAAATTGGGTTTACTTAATTGTAGTGGTTTTTTGCTGCTCATTGAACCTAATTCTTCAAGTTGTTGTTTTGATCTGGTATGTGCTCTTTTTATGATACAAACGTTTGGCATATTAATTCCTTTGGCTTGTTTGAATAACTCTTTTATGGCGCTGACGTGGAAACATACTAATAGTTTAAAACTTCGTTAAACTAGTTTAAATCGGTGATTTAAACTGAACTGTGTGCAGTCTCGTCCTTAAATCCATTTAAAGTGAGGAAAAACCACCTCATTATAATGCCTTACCTCGCCGGTTTAAATTGTAATCCTTAGTACAATAATAGTTTCTATAGAAAGAGATATCTCCAATGAAATAAGCTCATCATCTATATTAAGAGTATACATAACTAAAAAAATAGGCAGGCTAATTAGCTTTCCTAAACACTTGGTATAACTTAACTCCCGAAAAATGATGATAAACTAGATGATTGCCTTTAATACTCCAAACTCATTTCAAAAGGTAGAAAATTATTCACAGTTTGGATGATTGCCAATGCACCAGACTATAAACTGGAGGTTTAGACAAACGGAATGCAAGTATCCTTGAAGATAATGCAACCATCACAAAATTTAATTTGAAGATAAAAAGAACTTTGAATAAGTATGAGAATAAACTAATATTCTTGAAGAAGTTGAAATTGAAAAATGAAAAAATTGAAACTCATCTTCTAATTGTCACAGTAAAAAAGCTATCATTTGCTTGAAAATTTTTCATACCCGTTCATGGTCGTCAGTTAAAAAGTTATTGCAACAACTTAAGAAATATTTTCAAATAACTATTGAAACTCTCACAAAAAGAGTCTCACAAAGGCAGACTAATCTTGTAAAGATACTAATCTCTACATTAATTTAGAAAAACCAATCTTGTAAAAAAGGACTAATCTCTATACTAATTTAGAAAAGGCTTTTACACGGTTTTTTTTTTTTTCCTAAACATAACCAAAGAAAAATGAAACGTAAAAAATAAAAGCTAAACGAATTTTGTTTTTGTTTTTGAAATATTTATATATTTACCTATTATAAAAGCTGAATGATAAGTGCTAAAGTTCACATATTTTCCAATATCTTTCTCATGTTTTCTTGCTATGTTCCCTGAGTATTTTATGTTTTTATTATGATTTAATATTTTGTAGGTGTTTGAAGGACTAAAGAATGACTTGAAGCTTAATTTGACTTAGGTAATTTTCAGATGACTTAGGATGTGTTTGTTTTGTGGACTCAACTTGAGTAAGCCCAACTCAAGTTGAGTCCACGGCCCAAATTGATGTTCGGTGAGAGGAGTTAGAATTGTGATTCAAATCACAATTCAAGTTAATGCCCGTGAATTCGAATTCAACCACCCCCTGAATTCTCCTTAACTCGAGTCTGAGCTACAGTGAAAGTTTTTTGCCCAACTCTACAGATTCTCTGCACGCCTTACCGTTTTCTTGTCTCGTTCATCCGTTTTCTTCCCTCTTCCTCCGAAAGCTCTCTCTTCTCTGTCCATTCCCATCATCTACAGCCTTGATTCCCTTATTCGTGTTCTTAAACCCATGTGGTGAAGCTGCAACCCATATCTTGTTCCCTTTGAGCCAGATCTTTGTTTCGTTTGAGACAGCTGTTCCGTTTGAGCCGGATCTTGTTCTATTGACCAAGGAAACCTTTCCTCGCCGTTCACCGATTTGCCCAAAATGGAGAAAATAGATCCTTCATCAGAATCATGACGTCTTCTGTTGTTCTGTGTAGATGTCTCCGCCACCGTGGATTTCAACCTCTGCATAAGTAGACATATTTAACTGGTCGTAGACGGCGGAGGAGAATTTTCCGTACTCCATTAGAATCACATTTAGGGCTATTCACGGAAGATTATACTCGTTCTTCCACCGGATCGAACACGGTAAGCCCTCATCTCTTTGCCATACGATTTATGAGATTGTAGTCGAACATTGGAACAAAAGTTCGACAGTGAACTAGGCCTTCATAACCCCTACACATTGCACGTTATTTTGTAGTAATCTGTCATTAATAATTAACAAATAAACTAGAAGGATGGCAAAAAACAAAACGAAAGAGTGGTTCGTAGGGCATATTTGAAATTCAGCTTATGCTCAACCTGATTGTAAGATTTATGTACTTGTTCCACATCCCGTGAGTAAAGATTAGTGTAAAATTGGGGAAATCTGACCTATCTGATGAGAAGATTAGTGATCCCTCTTACGCCTAAAAATGTTACCACTATAACAATCTCTAATAACTTCATGTCGTAGTGTAAAAGGAATTGTCTTGATTTCTTTTTCTCTTATTTGGCATAACTTCACTACCTAGTAAATTTTCACCATGAAATATCCATCTCTCATAGCTTCGATCAAATCCATTAAAATGATTTGCACAATTTTTGGGCCCTGCCTATCTTTGAGGATTCCAAACCAGACCAGTGAAGGCCCTCCAAGCTTCTTAAACATGAATAGGAACAGAGCAAGACAACATGAATAGGTTTGTGAGTTCTATAAGTTACCCCGGTCTTTACATAGCTATTGTCAAAATTTTTGTTGCTTTCTTCATTTATGCCCTCCACCAAAAGCTTTCCTATGCACTTGCAAATGATATGTCCCGCATATCCCTCCCCAAGTCCTTCACTGAGAGAAAAAAAAATAACATGATTAAATCTATGAAAAGTTTAAGTTATATGGCAGTAGAGTTTAAGTTAATTATGGATAACATATTTCACATATATGTGAGTTCTTTCAACATTGCATTGTTGTGCAGATGAACTCTTTGTTCTTATTGGATTTAGTAC